GCCCCACCCAGGCTCCGCCTTCTCACCCCCGTGCCCCACCCAGGCTCTGCCCTCTCACCCCTGCGCCCCACCGGGGCCACGCCCTCTCACCTCCACACTCCTCCCACCTTTAGGGAATGGGATATGATAATGGGATGGGGAAGCTCTGGGGTCACAGGACAGAGCTCCGGATTTCTCTGGGATGGTGTAAGGTGCGGGCTGTAGGAGCAGGGGAGGGCAGCTGTCACAGCAAGGACCACGGGGCTGTGTGGCCTGTGGAGGAAGGACGGAGGCAGAGACCTCACAGCTGGCTCAGTGAGATGAGCGGCGGGAGGCCCGGGGCATAGTGGAGTGAGCGCTAGGGTGAGGGCCACTTCTCCGGTGTCTTCAGTGACCTGTCACTGTGGAATGGAGCCGTCGCCCTGGGCTGGCCCGACGGACTTCTTGGGTAAGTCTGGGTAAACCGTGGGGTGACGATACATTTGCTTCTCCCATCTCCAGAACCTCCCTTAAGAGTCATCCAGCTCTTGCTCAGTGAAGAGGAAAATGCCTCCATGGCAGAGGTCAACGCCTCGGTCGGTGCTGCAGGCCGCGCTCCGGGTGGGAGGGGGCGCTTGGCGGGTTCAGTCGAGGGCGGAACCATCCCTGTGCGGCCTTCATCTTGTCATCCATCTGGATTCAATTGCCAGAGGAGGCCGGAGCCTCTTGCCCCATGGGAGGTGCAGGGCATTAGGAAGTGAGGAAGGCCGGGGACAGAAACCTCAACTCACCACAAGCAGAGGCCAGGGTGCCAAGTCACCCCAGCCGAGCCCTCTGAGCATCTCGGGTATGACCTGGAAGAAACCAAAGGACGTTTCGCCTCCAGGGAGTCTTCCCGGACTTCCCAGAGGGAACGGGGTGCTCTCTGCTCTTGGCTTCCAGGCCATACCCAATCACAGGCAAAGTTGCACAACGGCCGAGTGTTTGAGGCTCTAGAATCCTGCACACCCAGAATCAAAATCTCTGTGCTGCCCCTCACTAGAGCAGGTACGTTAATTACACACATTATATAACAGGTCATCTGTAAACGCAGGGACAAGCATAGCACCAGAGTCGACAGGCTGTCTCACCGTTTAAATGATGTGCGTCAAGCATTTAGTACCATGCCCGACATGCAAGTATTCAAACATTGTAATTGCTATTATTACTACTGCACACATAGCACTCCCCACTCCCCACTCCCCACTCCCTACTCCCTACTCCCCACTCCCCACTCCCCACTCCCTACTCCCCACTCCCCACTCCCCACTCCCTACTCCCCACTCCCCACTCCCTACTTTCCACTCCCCACTCCCCACTCCACACTCCATACTCCACACTCCCCACTCCCTACTTCCCACTCCTCACTCCACACTCCCCACTCCCTACTTCCCACTCCCCACTTCCCACTCCCCACTCCCTACTTGCCACTCCCCACTCCACACTCCCTACTTTCCACTCCCCACTCCCCACTCCATACTCCACACTCCCCACTCCCTACTTCCCACTCCCCACTCCCCACTCCCTACTTTCCACTCCCCACTCCCCACTCCCCACTCCCCACTTCCCACTCCCCACTCCCCACTTCATACTCCACACTCCCCACTCCCCACTCCCTACTTCCCACTCCCCACTCCCCACTCCACACTCCCCACTCCCTACTTCCCACTCCCCACTCCACACTCCCCACTCCTACTTCCCACTCCCTACTTCCCACTCCCTACTTCCCACTCCCCACTTCCCACTCCCTACTTCCCACTCCCCACTCCACACTCCCCACTCCACACTCCCCACTCCCTGCTCCCCACTCCACACTCCCCACTCCCTGCTCCCCACTCCACACTCCCTACTTCCCACTCCCCACTCCCCACTCCACGTGGTAAAATCTGTTGACATTTGTCACCTGCACCAGACTATGCACTCTTTGAGTTTAGACTCCACCTAAGTCACCTTGACACCCCCAGCCCCTGACCACCTCCTAGGTCTACTTAACCCATGTTCAGTATACTGTGGAGGGGTCATGAGTCATGCATCAGAGGCGAGGCTGAGGAGGGGGACAGAATGGAAAACCCTTCACTCACAACAAACATTATTAAGTAAGGACCCGCGACAGTCACTGGGCTAGGTTAGAGTGCGAGGATGCAGAGATGGTGAGGAATGTGCTGGGGTCCTGGGGCTCCCGTTCCAGGGGGAAACAGGGATGAATACACCCATCAAGGTGGGAGGGGATCTCCCCTCTGGATGGGGCCTCACCCCCACCCGCCCATCCCCCATCCTCTGTCCTAGGTGGCGTACATACTGGGGACCCTGGACATGCGGGCCTTTCTCCGCAACAGCCAAGTGAACCGAATGTAAGTGGGACTGTGTCCCCCTGAGCCCCCAGGTCCTCTTCCTCATCCCCCGCTCTCTGGCCCCCCTCACCGTCACCCTCCCACACAGCGATTCCCCAGCACCTGCCTCGGGAAGCCCCATTCAACACTGGATGGTCATCTCGGAGTTCCAGTACCGCCCTTGGGGCCCGGTCATCGACTTCCTGAACAACCAGCTGCTGGCTGCGGTGGTGGAGGCGTTCTTATACCAGGTTCCACGGAGGAGGGAGGAGTCCAGGAACCACGTGGTCTTCCAGCCCATCTCCGGGGAAGACGTGTGGGATGTGAGAGCCCGTGAGTCCATCCATTCCGGGGACAGTGTGGGGGTCACTGCAGGGGGCGGGTAAACGGAGGTGCTTCCGCCCACACAAACAAGTTAGTTGAGTTTTTCTGTTTGCTTGGTTTTGAGAGAAAACGTGAACATTTTATCCAGCTTCCTTTTAGATTCCAGAGCAGGAGCAGCCAGCAGCGCTAAGGCAGTCCCACGTATGCAGCTTCACAGAGCAAGTACCCAGCCAGGACCTTGCTGACTGTGGCCGCTAATAAAACAGCAGCAATTTATTTTCATAACATTGCTAATAGTTTTCTTAAGATGCCTTTGCACTAAAACATACACAAGGACACCCCCATCATGTCTGTCCTCCAGCTGCAGGCTATTAAGCTGGAGACTGGCCAGGGACAGAGGCAACTCTTCCCTGAAATGATGTGACCCTGTGCAAGCACCTTCCCCAGGCCAGGCCAGGCCTCAACACCCCCCAGCACCTTCCCCAGGCCAGGCCAGGCCTCAACACCCCCCAGCACCTTCCCCAGGCCAGGCCTCAACACCCCCCAGCACCTTCCCAAGGCCAGGCCAGGCCTCAATACTCCTCAGCACCTTCCCCAGGCGAGGCCTCAACACCCCCAAGCACCTTCCCCAGGCCAGGCCTCAATACTCCTCAGCACCTTCCCCAGGCGAGGCCTCAACACCCCCAAGCACCTTCCCCAGGCCAGGCCAGGCCTCAACACCCCCCAGCACCTTCCCCAGGCCAGGCCTCAATACTCCTCAGCACCTTCCCCAGGCGAGGCCTCAACACCCCCAAGCACCTTCCCCAGGCCAGGCCAGGCCTCAATACTCCTCAGCACCTTCCCCAGGCCAGGCCTCAACACCCCCAAGCACCTTCCCCAGGCCAGGCCAGGCCTCAACACCCCCCAGCACCTTCCCCAGGCCAGGCCTCAACACCCCCCAGCACCTTCCCAAGGCCAGGCCAGGCCTCAACACTCCTCAGCACCTTCCCCAGGCGAGGCCTCAACACCCCCAAGCACCTTCGCCAGGCCTCAACACTCCTCAGCACCTTCCCCAGGCGAGGCCTCAACACTCCTCAGCACCTTCCCCAGGCCAGGCCTCAACACTCCTCAGCACCTTCCCCAGGCAAGGCCTCAACACCCCCCAGCACCTTCCCCAAGCCAGGCCAGGCCTCAACACCCCCCAGCACCTTCCCAAGGCCAGGCCAGGCCTCAACACCCCCCAGCACCTTCCCCAGGCAAGACCTCAACACCCCCAAGCACCTTCCCCAAGCCAGGCCAGGCCTCAACACCCCCAAGCAGCTTCCCCAGGCCAGGCCAGGCCTCAGCACCCCCGAGCACCTTCCCCAGGCCAGGCCTCAGCACCCCCATCTGAAAATGAGATGGGATTTCTGAGCCCCCTTTCAGTGCTGACAGCCCCTGGTTCTCCCGGAACAGGTATAAGTTGGCAAGCTTGTCAGAGTAACAAAGGAGTAACACATCCTATTTTCTGTCTAGGGCAGAGAATAGGGCAGTGGCCACCCCAAACACAACAGAAAGTGCTGTTTTACTTGGGTCTGGGACCAAGCAAGAGCTTCTCCTAGAATGCAGGCTAAGCCCGCTCTCTCCTGGAGCAGTGGGTGAAATCCCTCAGAACTACTGTATGTTGGGGAGTTGGGGTAGGAGGCCCAGGGAGGCAAACCCTGACTACGCAATTAAGGAAAACCTATAATTTTTATTATACAAGTATCCTATGTTTATTGCAGAAACTTTAGGAAACACAAATTTAACAAAAAGAAAAGAGGAAAAAACCCCTGTAATCCCAGTCCCCAGAGAGACAACAATATTTTGTACATATCCTTCTGAACTTCCGTTTATGCCTAAGAACTTCACACATCGATTTTTTATTGAAGGATCAAGTCATTCCTAATGTTTGATAACCTCCTCGTTAAACATTTGTGAACAGATTGTCTCATATATTGTATCCATATTCCCATTTGACATATTATAATGGTAGGTTTGAATATAGTGTCATATTTTAAAATACATTAGAATAATCATTACCATTTTTTGAGTGCTTACTGTGTGTCAGGCAGTGTACTGAGTACTGTGGACATATTACCTCATTTAAATCTCACAGCAGCATAAGTGCTATTATGATAATTTCCTTTTAAAGATAAGGAAACTGACACTGAAAGAGTTAAGGAATGTTCCCTGAATTACACATCTAGTTACTAGTAGAGTTTCAGTTTCAACCCAGGTCTGGCCACCTTCAAAGCATACACTCTTTAGGAAAGCATTTTCCATAGAAAACTTTTTCCATAGGAAACTTTTTCCATAGGAACTGTCATCCCTTGGTAAGGATATGCAGTTTATTTAACCCGACCCCACTTCTGAAACATTGTTACTATTATCCACCACGCTGATCTGAATATGCAGGGGCATATGTATCTGTGCATCTCTCTAATTACTTCTCAGGAGAAACACCTGAAAAGGAATTCGTGGTTGAAAAGGTATTGATTTAGTGTTCATCAGTTGCTTTGTGTGTTAATCTGTGTCCTTCCCGACAGTGAACGTGAGCACGCTGAAGGCTTACTTCAAATGCAATGGCTACAAGGGCTATGACCTGGTCTACAGCCCCCAGAGCGGCTTCACCTGCGTGTCCCCGTGCAGTAGGGGCTACTGTGACCATGGAGGCCAGTGCCAGCACCTGCCCAGTGGGCCCCGCTGCAGGTGCATAGGGCTGCGGCCAGGAGGTGGATGACAGTGCTGGGGAACCCAAGCTGGGCAAGACACCGCAAGGGGTCCAGAAATTAGGATGGCTCCCTTTGTAACGAGAAAGATCGGAGACCAGGGAAGAAGGGACAGTGGGAAAGGAGAGTTGTGAGTGCCTGCCCTGTGTGGAGAATATATTACAAACTCTGAAACCCAAAGGAGCCACAGGGGGTATTGAAACCATTTCGAAGATGAGAAAACTGCAGCTTAAAGATGACCAGGAACTTGCCCGGGGAGCCAGTAGGTTAAGCAGCAGGGCATGGTTTCCAAAGCCAAACATTTTTTATTTTTTATTTTTTGAGATGGAGTGTCATTCCGTCGCCCGGGCTGGAGTGCAGTGGTGCATTCTCGCTCACTGCAACCTCCGCCTCCCGGGTTCATGCCATTCTCCTGCCTCAGCCTCCCGAGTAGCTGTGACTACAGGCGCGCACCACCACACCCAGTTGATTTTTGTATTTTTAGTAGAAACAAGGTTTCGCCATGTTGGCCAGGCTGGTCTCAAACTCCTGACCTCAGGTGATCCGCCCACCTCAGCCTCCCAAAGTGCTGACATTACAGGCGTGAGGCCCAAAGTCAAACCCTCCCACCTGATCTGGCTGCTGCTTCCCTGCCGTCTCCTTGTGGGGAAGGAACCTACAGTCCTGTGTCTAGGGCCAGCCCTGCCCCTCAGTCACGGGAGGCGCCTTTGCCCCTGCCCTCACCAGCAGTCCCGGGGTTCCGCTGGTGAACAGCGCAGGAAGCCGCGGTGCACGCAGCCCTGGTCTCCGCGCCCTCCGCCTGCTGCGGTTCCAGATCCGCCGAAGAAGGGGGTGGGCGGAGCGGGGGCGGGGCCCAGCTCTCCGGGCGGGGCGGGGCCGGGGCGGCGCTGTGACTGCGCATGCCCACTTGTGGCCAGTCGGCATCCCTGCTGCCCAGGCGCAGCTGACTGCACGCGCAGCTGAATTCACTCCACGTTTTTGTTTTTGTTTTTGAGACGGGGTCTCGCTCTGTCCCCCAGGCTGGAGTGCAGTGTTGCAATCTCGGCTCACTGCAAGCTCCGCCTCCCGGGTTCAAGCGATTCTGTCTCAGCCTCCCGAGTAGCTGGGACTACAGGTGCGCGCCACCACGCCTGGCTAATTTTTGTATTTTTAGTAGAGATGGGGTTTTACCGTGTTGGCCAGTCTGGTCTTGAACTCCTGACCTCAAGTGATCTGCCCGCCTCAGCCTTTCAGAGTGCTGGGATTCCAGGCGTGAGCCACCAGGCCCGGCCCAGGCCCATGTTTTAAAGCCCACAGCTGCCTCTTTGCCCAGCGGCCTCACTTCAGCACGGCCTCAGGGCTGACTCAGCCTTTCTCTCCGGAGAGTGGGGCAAGCCCAGCCTCTCCTAGAGAACATCTTCCCCAGCGGAAGAGGCGGGGCTGGGAGGCTGAGCTCCCGCCTCTGACACACTGTCTCTCTCTCGGTCGCCAGCTGTGTGTCCTTCTCCATCTACACGGCCTGGGGAGAGCACTGTGAGCACCTGAGCATGAAACTCGACGTGTTCTTCGGGATCTTCTTTGGGTCCCTGGGCGGCCTCTTGCTGCTGGGGGTCGGGGTGTTCGTGGTCCTGCGTTTCTGGCATTGCTCCAGGACCAGCTTCTCCTATCCCCTGCACTCAGCTGAGGCCTCGCCTTGAAGGGACAGCTGTGGCCTAGGCTACCTCAAGACCCACCCCATCCTCACCGCACACTTAAGGCGCCATTGCTTTTGGGAGACTGGAAAAGGGGAGGTGACTGAAGGCTGTCAGGATTCTACAAGGGGAGTGAATACTGGGACTCAAGACAAGACTATACCTTATCCATAGGCTCAGGTGCACAGGGGGAGGCCTTAAAGACAAACAAGCGTGGAGGGGTCCTCACGCAGACGCCCCCACAGAAGGACACTGGCCTGTGCACGCGTGCGCGCGCGCACACACACACACACACACCAAAGTTCATAATGTAGTGATGGCCCTAAGTTAAGCAAAATATTTCTGCACACAAAACTCTCTGGTTTACTTCGAATTAAAGTCTATTTAATAAAGCTGTCTAACTTTTTGTGTCTTCAAAACCAAGGATTCCATTCCTGATTTTCTTCTGGTGGCCGAAGGGCTGGGCACAGGCTTCTCCAAACTGTCAGAGGGCACAGTGTGTGGAGGTTAAGTGTTGGACAGGCAGTGGAGCAGAAGGGGCAGCTGGATCCAGTCCTAATCAGCCAGGTCACCCATGCTGGAAATCCTCAGTTGCTCCACCCTAACCTTGCTTCAGGCTCCACATCATCTTCTTCTTCCCCCACCCCAGCACAGGCCAAAGCTTCCCCTCTAAGGAGGAGGGCAAAAGAGATACCCCAAGATGGAGTGCCCCAGACTCTCTCCCAGGACCCCTCCCTACCTGCCTGTCCATCAATTTCACAAAGTCATAAAAGGATCAATGTACAGTGCGTTTTCCTGTCTGTTGGCTGTCCCCACTGCCTGTGTTTCATGGAAGAGGGATTAAACCATTTCAGCTCCCTTTCCAGGAGCCAACTCAAGAAACATGCCACCACCGCACCCTTAGATCTGGAGGACCCGATCCCTAATATACCTTCTCTGTCCTTTCCCGGACCCCAGATGGAGTCTTCTGAGGTTCTCCATCCCACAGCCCTTCAGCCCTACCCTGCCTCCACTTGTCCCCGGCAACCTGATCAGCTTCCACATAATCCTCTCAGCAGGCAGGACTTTTACACCTATCTGGTGTAACAACTCCAACACCATTGGTCCCCGATCCCTATGTCTAGAAAATCTCAATTCTGCAAAACTTTATGCAGAAACTAGGTGGCTGCCTCTTAGTTCTAAATCCCAAATCCCTGAAGAGAGAATCTGACTGGTCCAATTTACATCAGTTGTTTATGCCTGGTCCAATAAAATGCAGTCATGGGGTCAGAAAGGAAGTCACATGGTGCAAAGCAGGTGTTCAAGCTCACTCTTGCGGGTGGGTAAATGCTGTTGAAGGAAGCTCCCAAAGGAATATCTTTGGTTGGGCGCAGTGGCTCACACCTGTAATCCCAACACTTTGAGAGGCCGAGGCGGGCGGATCACTTGAGGCCAAGAGTTTGAGACCAGCTTGGCCGACATGGTGAAACGCGGTCTCTACTAAAAATACAAAAATTAGCTGGGCGTGGCACGTGCCTGTAATCCCAGCTACTCAGGAGGCTGAGGCAGGAGAATCTCTTGAACCCAGGAGGTGGAGGTTGCAGTGAGCTGAGATCATGTCACTGCACTCCAGCCTGGGTGACAGAGCAAGACTCTGTCTCAAATATATATATACACACATATATATAGATATATAAATACATATGATCTTTGTATTAGTCAGGGTTCCCTAGAGGGACAGGACTAATAGGATAGATGTATATATAAAGGGGAGTTTATGAAGGAGTATCGACTCACACGATCACAAGGTGAGGTCCACAATAGGCCGTCTGCAAGCTGAGAAGCAGGGAAGCTAGTCTGAATCCCAAGATCTCAAAAGTAGGGAAGCCGACAGCGCAGCCTTAAGTCTGTGGCCAAAGGCCCAAGAGCCCCTGGCAAACCACTGGTGTAAGTCCAAGAGTCCAAAAGCTGAAGAACTTGAAGTCCGATGTTCGAGGGCAGGAAGCATCTAGCACGGGGGAAAGATGAAGGCTGGAAGACTCAGCCAGTGTAATCCTTCCGTGTTCCTCTGCCTGCTTTATTCTAGCTACACTGGCAACTGATTAGATTGTGTCTACTCAGATTGAGAGTGGGTCTGCCTCTCCCAGTCCACTGATGCAAATATTAGTCTCCGTTGCCAACACCCTCACAGAGATACACCCAGGAACAATACTTTGTGTCCTTCAGTCCAATCAGGTTGACACTCAATATTAACCATCACAGTCTTTGATCTGAAGAGACTCCAAACTGTCTACGTTATATGGAGAATGACTTCTCCCAATAGGTGAAGTCACTCTCCTATATACAAAGCTGTGGCTTTACCCTCATATGCCCCAAAGTGGAATGTAATGAAGTCTCCATACAAAACCATAGTCACAACATTCATTTATCAAGAAGTAAGCACACAGCACACATGACTTCACTGGTGGATTTTACCAAATATTTAAGGGGAAATAATACCTATTTTCTGCAATCTTTTCTGGAAGACAGAAGCAGGAGGAATACTTCCTAAGTCATTTGTCAGTGTCACCCTAATGCCAAAACCAAACAAAAACATTACAAGACGACTGACTATAGACCAATATCTCTCACATAGATGCAAAAATTACCAACAAAATATTAGCAAATTGAGTTCAACAATGCGTAAAAAGAATTATAGGCTATCACCAACAGGGATTTATCCCAGGTATGCAAGACTGGTTCAATATTCAAAAATCAGCTAATGTAATCTGTTACATCAACAAGCTAGAGAAGAAAAATATTCAAAAATCAGCTAATGCAATCCGTTACGTCAACAGGCTAGAGATGAAAAATCACATGATCATATCAGTGGATGTGGGAAAGGCATTCGACAAAATCCAACTCTGCTCATTATTTAAAAAAAAGAAAAAAACTCTCAGTAAATTAGAAATAGGAACTTCCTCAACTTGATAAAGGATATCTACAAAAACTGAGCTGGGCCCGGTGGCTCATGCCTATAATCCCAGCACTTTGGGAGGCTGAGGCGGGCGAATCACAAGGTTAGGAATTCGAGACCAGCCTGGCCAATATGGTGAAACCCTGTCTCTATTAAAAAATACAAAGAGTAGCCAGGCGTGGTGGTCAGCGCCTGTAGTCCCAGCTACTCGGGAGGCTGAGGCAGGAGAATTGCTTGAACCCGAGAGGCGGAGGTTGCAGTGAGCTGAGAACGCACCACTGCATTCCAGCCTGGGCGACAGAGTGAGACCCTGTCTAAATAAATAAATAAATAAAATAATATCTACAAAAACCAACTGCTAACATCATCCTTAACGGTGAGAAACTAGATGCTTTCCCCTAAGATGAGGAAGAAGGCCAGGATGTCCCCTCCCACCAATTTTCAACATCATACTGGAGGTCTTGGCCAATGCAACAAGACACAAAAGGGAAATAAAAGGTATACAGAATAAAAAGGAAGAAATAAAACTGTTTTTGTTCACAGATGACACAATCATCTATGTAAAAAAATCTAAGAGTTGACAAAAGGAAAAAAACCCAGAACAAAGAAGCAATTTCAGCCAAGTTTCATGATATAAGGTTAGTGTCCCAGCATCAATGGCTTTCATGTGTGCCAGCAAAGAACAATTGGAATTTAGAATTAAAAACATTTGAGCAAGACAGGAAGCAAAAAAAAGAAAAACTAATAATAAAATTAAATACACATTACCATTTACGTTAGCATCCCCCAAAATGAAATACTGAGGTATAAATGTAACAAAATATGTACAAGATCTATATGAGAAAAACTATAAAACTCTGATGAAAGATATCAAAGAACTTCATAAATGGGATGACATTCTATGTTTATGGACAGGAAGATTCAAATTTATTTTATTTTATTTTTGAGACGGAGTCTCCCTCTGTCACCCAGGCTGGAGTGCAATGGCGCCATCTCAGCTCACTGCAACCTCAGCCTCCCAGGTAGCTGGGATTACAGGTACACATCACCATGCCTAGCTAGTTTTTTTGTATTTTTAGTAGAGACAGGGTTTCAACATTTTGGCCAGGCTGATCTCAAACTCCTGACCTCAGGTGATCCACCTGCCTTGGCCTCCCAAAGTGCTGGGATTATAGGTGTGAGCCACCGCGCCAGTACAGAAGACTCAACATTATTAAGATAGCAGTTCTCAATATTATCAAGATAGCAGCAGATCAAGATAGCCAACTTGATCTACAGATTCTACATAATAACACAATCTTAATCAAAATCCCAGGAAGTTATTTTTAGAGATTGATAAACTGGCTCTAAAGTTTATGTAGAGAGGCAAAAGATCCAAAATAGCCAACTCAGTATTGATGGAGAACAGTCGGAGGACTGATATCACCTGACTTCAAGGCTTACTCTAAAGCTATAGTCATGAAAACTGCATGATACTGGCAAAAGAATAGACAAATAGATCGATGGAACAGAATAGAGAGCCCAGAATATTAAAAGTAATATTTCTAATAGACCTGCATAAATGTGTCAACTGATCTTTGACAAAGGAGCAGAGGCTATGCAATGGAGCAGAGATAGTGTTTTCAACAAACGACACTGGGACAACTGGACATTCACACGCAAAAGAAATAAATATATTTATATATAGACACAGACTTTACACCTTTCATAAAAACTCAGAATGAATCATAAACCTCAATAAAATGAAAATGAAAAACTGAAAGACCCAAGAAGATAACATAGGAGAAAATCTAAATGACCTTGGAGATGGTGATGACTTTTTAGATACGATACCAAGGGCATGATCCATGAAGGAAATAATTGATGAGCTGAACTTCGTTAACATTAAAAACTACCTCTCTGTGAAAGACAATGGCAAGAGAATGAAAATATTTGCAAAAGTCCCATCTGATTAAAGACTGTTATCTAAAAATACACAAAGAGCCAGGTGCACTGGCTCAGACCTGAAATCCCAGCACTTTGGGAGGCTGAGGTAGGCGGATCACTTGAGGTCAGGCGTTTGAGAACAGCCTGGTCAACATGGGGAAACCCTGTCTCTATTAAAAACACAAAAATTAGCTGGGTGTGGTGGTGCATGCCTGTAATCCCAGCTACTCAGAAGGCTGAGGCAGGAGAATCGCTTGAATCCGGGAGGCGGAGATTGCAGTGAACTGAGATTGCACCCCTGCACGTCAGCCTAGGCAAAAGAGTGAGATTCTGTCTCAAAAAATAATAATATTTAGTTAATTAAATATACAAATAACTCTTACAACTCAACAATAAGAAAATGAACAACCCAATTTTTTAAATGGGTAAAAAAACTGAACATACATATCACCAAAGAAGGTATTCACATGGCACATAAGCATCTAAAAAGACGTTCAACATCATGTCATTAGGGAACTGCAAACATCGCACAACCAACACACACCTGTTAGAATGACC